TTAATTTTTTCAAGTATTACGTCATAACCTTAATGTTTATTTAAAAGTTTAAATTTGAGAAATCACAATTCTATCTTGAATTAAATAAGAATTTTAGACTTTAATAGAAATATGTAAGCAGTGTTATAAGGGGAAAATTAATAAAGGGCTTCTTAATTTTTTTCTTATGATACTGCATATATTATTAATATAAATTAATAAAAATCTTTTTTGATCTTCTTTATATAATAATATAATAATTTATTATAGATAATTATGATCTATTTATAGCTAATATTTTTAATTTTGAATAAGTTTTCAATATATTCTAAAACCTTTCAAATATTAAAAGTTAAGTTTGGATTAATTCTGATTAGATCAGAAATAAATAATTATAATGTATAAACTACTCCTTAGATTTGAAGGCATCTATTTAAATATGTGAAAATGCATGATAGTAATGAGAGATTTTTCAGCAGCTTTTATGATATTGGCTGATTCATTCAATTATTGATTCATCTTATTAACCATTGGTAATTTGTTATAATATATAGAATAAACTTGTTTTTTATTATTAATGTTAGACAATTGACAAGCTGAATTATTTTTATAACTTCTATCTGACTTTAATGACATATGAATTTATTAATTGTAATTATTTCTTAATTTTTCTTAATATAAAACTCATTTAAAAGAGTAATAATATAATTAATAAGTTCATTATCAATTTTATCAATCATATTTAAAGTTAAAGAAACAGCTTTTTATATTTTTAGGAAAGGTTAGAGTATAACCAAGAATTTATATTCTGAACATTATTATTTTAATCATAATTAAGTGTGATAATAATATAGAATGTGATTATATGTAACTTAAGTAATTTTCTGATCTTTCTATTAATTATTAAAGGCTAAAAATAAGAAATCTTTTAAAAGATGTAGCTATTATATAGCTAAACTTTTTAATTAATTAGTAAACTTCTTATAGTAATAGAAACTCATAATATGATTATTAATATTAATAATTATTTTTGATCTTGCTAGTAAATATTTAATTACTAAAGTAGCTAAATTAATAGTAGAGACATACTTTAAATACTTTGATTTGTATATAACATCAACTATTACAATATATTTGAAAAGTTTTCTCTTTTTGTTAATCTTTATTTTTATTATAAATAAGAGTTTCAATAAATTTTACAAGACTGATTTCAATTAGCAAATTATTTGAAAAGAAAGTATTCTAAAAGACTTTCTAAACTAAATCATTTATAGTTTTTTATTAAATTTATTATATAGTGAATTATTTAGTAAAAGACTTTTAACAATATAGTTGTAATGCCTTTTATATAAAGAGTAATTCTTTAGAATCAAAAAACATAAATAGTTCAAAAAAATACTTAGTCATTTCTGTTATTCCTTTTACTATAGTACTGCTCAACACACATTACTATCTTTAGTTTTTTTTAGTCTACTAACTGATTTTCATTAAAAGAATTGAATAAACAAGGTAAGTTTTTGGCTTCTAATTTTAAGCTTATTGTAGAATAAGATGTAAAATTTTAACTTTATTTAATAAAAAACATTTTTATTGTTAGTTTCAAATTTATTTGAAGTATTTGATTGATAGAGCATAATTTAATTTTCTATGTAAAGATCATCAAATGTTAATCATATTTTGAGTTCAAATGCAATTATTCTAGAATTTGATTTATAAATTTAAAAATATTCTGGATTGATTAATCTATTATATATCAATTACTTATAAAAGATTCAGTTTTTCTTTGAAAGAAAATGGAGTTTTTTTTTAAAATTTTAATTTTTTTTGTGTTGTATATTTATTAATATTTGTATTTGATACTTCAATAGAAGTTTTTTTTTAAATCTAATCTATATTACTATATTTAATATTATTGATTTCTATGTCTTCTTTAGAATTTTTTCAAAATATTATTTAATAACATTTTATAATAATAATACAAATAAAAAAAAATTGATAATTATTTATCAAATTAATAATTTTATTAAATTATATATGCTGATGAGAATTTATTTAACTATTAAATATTATTTAATAATTAGATTTAAATATATAATCGAATTGTTTTAAGTGTATTTTCTTTAAAATCAAATATGTATTAAAAGAAAATATATAATTTAACAACTTTTTAAAATATAAATTTATTATTTAATAAATATATAATTAATTAATTTTATAATGATATAAATCTAAATAATAAAAATTATTAATAATAGAATTTAAAAAATTAAAAAGTTAATATAAAAAGCTCTTAATGTTTTTTTTAATAAGCATTTACAAAAAGAATTTTATAAATTATTTATATTAATATAATATCACATTTTAGAAATCTTATTTTATTTGTAAAAAAAAAATAAATAATATAGATATATTATCTTTTCACCTTTTTTTTTTTTTTTGGAAATTTATATACAAAAGAAATATTAATTATAAAAATTATTATTACTATTATTACTACAGTTTTCTTTTTAACAAAAAGGAATTAGAGTGAAGGATCTTCATCTCTAATTAAAATATATCTTTCCTTTAAATAATTTTTAACATGTTTAATTGGAATTTCCCGACGATGAAATATTCCAGCAGCAAGAGCAGCTTCTACATTAGTTTTAGCAAAAACTTCAGCAAAATGGTCTTCTTTTCCAGCTCCACTTGACGCAATAACAGGAATCCTCACAGCTTTCTTAACATCATTTATTAACTCTAAATCATAACCAGAATTTGTACCATCTTTATCCATACAATTAAGAAGAATTTCACCAGCACCCATAGCTTCACAAGAGGTAACAAGTTGATGAACATCAATATCTCTTCCTTCACGACCACCTTTCACAGTACATTGATACCAACACCAAGGTTCTCCGTTAGGACCAGGATAAGAAGTCTTAATTACATGATGATTTGGTTCATCATCCGGAGAATTTACGTAAATTCTTTTAGGATCTACAGATATTACTACAGCTTGAGAACCATAAGCATGAGCGATAGTTTCAATGGCAGTTCTACCAGATAATATTTTATTATTAGCTAAATAGTTTTCTACTGCATAAACAGCATCACTACCAATTGAAACTTTATCAGCGCCAGATCTGAAATATTCACCAGCAACTTCAAGAGCCGAATGAAATTTGCCATCAGGATCTATAATATCTCTTATACCACCACCAATGGTTAAAGGAACAAAAACTGTTTCTGATGTACGTTTTAAAATTTCCAACATTGGTAAATCAACTAAAGGACAATTGCGAAAACTTGTAATATTTAAAAAGGTAATCTCATCAGCTCCTTCATCAAAATATCTACGAGCTAGATCAACAGGTTTACCAAGATTCCTAACTTGTCCATTAGTGATATCTGTAGTACGTTCACGTACATCATATTGATCACCTTTAGTCACTACCAAATCACCATGATCATTTGTACGGACATCTAAACATGCTATAATTCTTTTTCTAAATCTGTCTTTTGGTAATATTGTAGGATTTTTCATTATGATCTTTTTATCATCAACAACGACCAAATTATTATTACCACTACTTTCTAAAAATGATTTTAAAATTCTCAAACCGGCATACCCACTTTTTTCGGGATGAAATTGTGTACCAAAAACGTTATCTTTTTGAATTGAACTAATAAAAATTTCATCCCCATATTGAGTAGTAGATAATATCCATTCTTTAATCTTTTCATTATAGGGTACAGCATAAGAGTGAACGAAATAATAAACGCTTCCTGGTTTAATTCCACAATGAATATCTTGTCCTAGTTCATTTTTATATTTAATCTCTTTTATGCAATTTGCTTCATTCCATCCCATATGTGGTACTACTTTATCGTCTTTATTAAATAATTTAACTGTACCAGGAATAATTCCCAATCCTGATATATTCGGATTTTCTTCTGATCCTTCAAACAATGCTTGTAATCCAACACAAATTCCCATAAATTGTTTTCTCGATGCAATAAATTGTTTTAATGGTTCTGCATAATTTTTCTCTACAAGTAACTGCATTGCACTACCAAATGCTCCTACTCCCGGAAATATTAATTTCTAAAATTATATTGCAAAAAAATATTTAAATTTTCTTTTTTTTAAAAAATAAAAAAAAAATCGATGAATTGATACTTACTTCAGCTTTTAAAATATCACCAGGTTCTTTAATCCATTCAATCTCATAACCCAACTTATTAACAGCATTAACTAAACTACGAACATTTCCTGCTCCATAATCCAACAAATATAATCCTCCCATATTCGTATAATTTTCGTATTTTCTTATTCTATTTTTTTTTTTAAAAAAAAAAAAAGTAAAAATAAAAATAATAAAATTACGGTTTATAAACGTGTTTTTTGATCGTGAATCAATATGAATCAATATTTGTCATCAGAAAACCCTTTTAATTTGTATAGATCTTCAATTTCTTGAGGCACAGCCATAAATTAATATAAATTTTATTTGATGATAAATTGAACTACAAAATATTTTTTATCATATTAAGATCGCATAGTAATTTACCCATATATACAACAAATCTCAAAGTTTGTACAAAAAAAAAATAAAAATAAAAAACTTTAAAAACTTTAAAAACTTTGATTTATTTTATTTACAGCTCTTTTTGCTCTTTTTTGGCAGCATTTTTTAATCGTCGTGTTGCTGAAGGTGATGATGAGGATGATGTCCATTTCTTTTTTAAAGTAGGAATTCCAAATTGCCATATAGCATATCCGACCAATGCAGTTATCAGTACTATCCAAAATATAACTACATTTGTTGGCGCAGGGGTTGGAAATTCCCCAATACCAAATTTATAACAAATTACCGATTCTGTCATAAGATTTGCTATAGTTAACCATGCCTGAGGTCCAAATCTTTTGCAATTTCTAGAAAAGAAATAAATAACAAGCTTTAATATGTATTGTTATTATATTTATATATATATATATTTTTTTTTTTAAAAAAAAAAAGATAAGTTGATTCTTTTAATTACTTGTCTGTCAAATATTGATATGCTTCACGTGTACCAGGAATTGAACACATGAAAAGCAACAAAGCTCGATAACTGTTAAGTGGGTGCTCCGGTGGAATCCATAAAAGATATTTCAAATAAAATGAATTTAATTCAGCTTGCAAGAACTAAAAAGAAAGGTTAAAATTAGTCTAAATATAAAGAAATTAAATGCCAATAGAAAACATTTTATAATTTACCAAGAATAAAAGTCCAATAACAGCTAAATAATTTTTAAAACTTTTAGTAGTTCCCCATTCGAATTTAGTCCAATGGTGTGGTGTGAATTGTTGTACTATCCTCTGCACTCTTCCTTTTGATGATCGGATTTGTTTAAAACCTCTCCAAGAATATCCTTTCATCTCAAAATATTCACACGTCTTCATTCCAAAATAAAGACCAATCCAATTACAGATTAACACATCAAGGATCCACTACAATAACAATTTTTTTTTAAAAAAAAAAAGTATGGAAATTGTTATAAAAATAAAAATTTCATTTTAATAAACTTACGTGATCCCACCAACATTCCGCAAAATTATTTAATTGATGTTGTAATGAATATTCCATAATCTCAAACATGACAGATAATATCCAGCAGAACCAGTAATCACGTAACACTACAGCTTTGGCATACCATCCAGTTGCATGATAAACCACAAAGATATCAATTTGATTCTATTTATAAATAGTAATTTTTTAACAATTTGAAATATATATATATATATATTGCTGAAGAAATATCATTACTTTAACATTATCGTAAGTCAATTCACAATTATCGGCATATGAACGTTCCGGGAGAGGTCTTCCTAATGTTGGATCAATTGCCCTAAGAAATAAACGTGCATCGAATTTATTCTAATATCATCGAATAAAAGCTTTAATAAACCTGTTAATATCAATTCAAGTATTTAAAGAAATTTAACAAATTGATCTAACCTGAAATAAAAGAAATACAAGAAACATCTGGTATAACACTCCAAGACCCAAAACAATTCTCCAAAAAGCAGGATGTGGTCGGATGAAAGGTCCATCTCTAAACTGTAACATCGCAAATAAAAGAAAAAAACCTACTCCAGCCATGCTTCCGCTGTTAAAAGAACAAATTGATAAAGTGAGAATTAATTAGTTACGAAAATGAATAATATAATGTTGACTTGAAATCGAACTTACAATTTAATATTCGTTGCCGTATTAGATCCTTTATCGTCTTCCTCTCGATATATTGCAACGTATACAAGTCCAATAATCATTGCCGATAATACCGTCAATGTTCTTGGACGATCTATAAAGGTGAACATTTAAAGTAATGATAGGCTATATTTTAAGACGAGTCACAAAACGCGAATACAGTCTACAATCGCATCATTATCTATATAAAGTACGGAATAAATCAATAACGAAAGCATACAAAAGAATTCTGTAGGTGGATCATTGTCTATATATGCAACAGGTTGAACTTGTAATGATCGTGCATTTAAAGGATCTATAATTGCTTTGTTAGCAGGCTCGGGAGAAGAAGAGCTTGCTGTATACATTTTGCATTGATCGTAATCTGGAAGTTCAAAACAGTCTGTGAAACAATAATTTTAAAAAAATTTCCATTTTTTAATTGAGGTCAGTGCGCTCTTTTAATTTTAGAAAATCAACCAATGAAAACATGTAATAATATATTCGAAAAAGTTTAAATAAATTATAAATTAGCCAATTACAGGTTATTCTGAAAGAAGTACCATTTTTATTCAAAACAATAAAGGAATTTGGAATTTTTAGTTTAAAAAATTGAAAATTTATTTTCTTCTAAAAAGTGACAACAATAAATGAAACCGGAACAAATATCTTGACAAATAATGTATACAGTTACTAATATTAATCATTGGCTAGTGTCTTTGCCGTCATTCTTCACAACACAACCTTTAACAGTGTTAATTCCTGCTGTTGTTACTGTATTTTGTTTATTTTTAACTTCTTTCTTTTTGAGAAGCTTTAGATATCATAATGCCTCAACAAATAATAGAGAACGTGAGTTATTTCTGTTTTAAATATTTTAATTTTCAAATTCCAATTGAATATTATTTTAAAAAAATTGAAATTTAGTCGATTCACCCATAATTCAAAAAAACACGCAATATATCGTTATCCGAAATAAACGACTTCGAATTGTGCATATTATTCATGAGCTTGGGTCAAAAATTCCTTTAGTCGTATTTATTCATGGACTTGGTGGACAGGTTAGAAAATAAATTTATCATGATTTAGTTATGTTTTTTTTTAAAAAAAAAATAACCAAAATATTATATTTAATTAAAGGTAACACAATGGGAAAATCAAATCGAATATTTTTCATTAACTGCTAATATTCTAGCTGTGGATTTATTAGGTTGCGGAAAGAGTGAAGTGTCATACAGGTAAATTCTCATCATATGTGTATTATTTATTATATATGTAACAAATTTATAAAATAAGCCTGAAATTCTAATTAGCAATGTATCATTAAAAGATCGAGAGATTATACAACTGAATCCTTGATAGATGATCTTGAAGAACTATTGAAACGGTACCCGAGTGAAAATACTGTATTGATTTGTCATTCATTTGGATGTTGCCTTGGTACAAAATTATATGAACGCATTAAACATACTATTAAAGCCCTTGCATTTATTTCGGTAAAAGCCATTATTTCCGAAAGTGAAAAGAAAAAACAACAAAAAGTACTTTCGTATCCTAACTTTCTAATAAACATTTTCCGATATTTGGATCGCGTTGGCGGCATTCATTCTCAAAGTGTAAATCGGATTTTATATAAATATGCAAATGAAGAGGTTAGAACCAAACAATTAAGGTGGAATAAGCAATCAAAAACGATTGTATGGAAACATATGTTGGCTGGAATGAACTGGTTTACCCAAGCTGATATAAGTTTAATTGAATGTCCGATGTTACTTATTACGGGATCAGAGGTAAATGAAAAATTGGTTTTGAAAATTTTAACTTTTTTATTATAGAAGAATTCATGATAATTTTCTCTACATATCTTAAGGATAAAATTAGTTTGCCAGGTGATATGAATATTATTCAAGAATGGTGCAAGTCATCATCTGAAATTTTCTATATACCAGAATCAGGTCACAATGTAATGGTAGAAAAACCTGATATGGTTAACCTTATCATTAATGATTTTCTTATTAACACATGTGGTTTGGAAACTTTGGATCCTGCATTGCAAATTCTTTTCAAGACTAAAGGAGAAAATAAGTGGTCTATGAAGAATTTTCAAAAGGTTCGCTATTATCGGATAAATGTCTAAACAATTAACATCGTATACGTAGATTACGCGCAAGTTTATTCTTCCATATAAGGAATCTTTTGGTTTGACGCGTGATTTTTTTTCAGTGTTGAATTTTATTTCTTTTAGAAATTTCTGTTTAAACTATACCAAGACAAATATGTGATTTATCGCACTCTCATGTGGCACTTTAAAATATTAGTGGAAACGGACTCCGATAATATCAAAACGAACCGTCAATAACTCGAGATTTAGAGCGATGAAGGTTTGTCATCAGATATTTATTTTGATTGTTGCTTGTGACGACGTATTTACGGATGATTTATTATAATTTCATTAAAGGTTATGCGACAGAACGATGAAGAACATTGTCCAAAGTCATTGATTGCCAAACATCCGGAAATAGGATTGTAATATAAATTTTATTATCAATCAATTTTATATAATTAATTTGTTACTTTAATATTATGTATGTTTTCTGTTTGTATATTTTATTAGCATTATTGATATAACAAAGGATCCACCACCTTATCGAACAAGCGACTTTGATAATTCCCATATTACATATATTAAACTCAGCACTCTTAGTAAGGTACCACCATCACTTGACGACATTCAAAAATTTATCAAAGTTGCGAACGAAGCATGGAGCAAAATGCCGGATAAGCAAATTGCAGTGCATTGTCATTATGGGTATTCTACTTTTTATTTTATAAAACATTTTCAATTTTTTTCTTTAATTATTATTGTTGAGATATATCTTCTCTTAGGTTTAATCGAACTGGGTTTATGATTTGTTGTTACTTAATTGAAGAGCTACATCATTCTGTAACTGACGCACTTCGAATTTTCGAAGAAGCAAGGCCACCAGGAATCAGGTATGCTTTTATGTTTGTTCTCATGTATCTATGAAGAATATTAACTAGAAATTATCTCGTTTAAGGCACCGACATTTCAAAGATGAGCTTTATTTACGATACGAAGTTCGAAAAAGTAATATATCATATCATTCTGAATATCCTTCAAAACTACGATTAACCTTTGCTAGAATATTTATTTATTTAAATATTTTTTTTTTTTTTTTTTAGAATATGTTACTCTTTTGAACCATTGAAACTTTCCATTTTCGTTCTTATAAACATTATCATTTTTTAGATAATGTTTCCTACAATAATATATTAATTATCCTTAATTTAAATTTTATAAATAACTTTTTTTTTTTGATTATATCTTTTATTTTCATTTCATTTATGTCTATCTAATAACGTATTATTAGATGTATTATGAGTTCCGATTTGATCCATTTGTTCATTAATCAAAATTTTTGGCACTTGAAGCTTCTAACCAATAAATAGTATTTTTAATAGAAAATTTCTTTAGATATGATTTATATGATTTGATTCCAAAGAATTTAAAGGATTTCTTGTTCTGTGTTCAGTAGCATTGCCACCATCGGCGGGACCATCTTCACCCTGCATCATAGCAGTAACTTCCATAACTCTAGACTGTCTAACTTGAGCGCCAGAACCATTTGTTCCACTTCCATTTATAGATGCAGCAGCCGAATTCCCAACACCAACACCAACAACACCAACACCACCACCATTATTATTATTGTTATTATTAGATGTAAGATTAGTATTACTAGATGTTGATACAGCAGCGGAACCGGAAGGATTACTATTACTATTATGATTACTTGAACTATCGTTTTCTTCTTGAGGTAGAAATTCTTCTTCGGGTGATAATTCTTTTGTTTCCAAAACTTTGGTATTGTAACCTTGACATTGAGGACATTTGTGATATAAAAAGTGATATTTGACGGTACTACGATTTTCGCAGTCATTACACAATATATGTGCCACAAAATTTTCATATTCTGGTGGCATTTTTTGTTGAGCTACGATCGAATCAATTCTGCGGAAATAAAGATCCATATTTCCAATAGATTTCCAACATGTGGGACATTGATATGCTGTCATAATATATTCCTGATAACAATTGTTATGCATGCTATGCCCACAAGGCTTTAAAAAGTTTTTTTTTTGAATTAATATTAAGTTTCGGAAATAAAAAAAAATATTTAGCTACTATCATACGACGTACCATAAAAATGACTTGAGATCTTGAGGTAAATAAATATTCATTACAAATAACACAATCTCGCTCCAAATTTTTCTCGATACATTTATGAGTATTTTTTGAACCAATAAGTATACAGCAATCACAAACGTCACAATGAAAATAATCTTTTCCTTCACCGATGCGACAAATTCCACAAGAATTACAGTGATAAATTTTTTTATCTGGTTGATCATCCCAGAATTTACATATATCACAATAATATCTTGATAATTCACGCTTACACTTGTTGCAAGATTTATTGGCTGGCTGAATATCTTTACAATGCATGCACATCATATTTTTAGTAGCATGCCTACAAAAAATATAAGAAATTTAAAAATCAGAATAATAAATTAAAATAAAATTAAATAAATCTTCTTTGTTAATTAAATAATTCTTAACAAACCTATCAATCTGATGATCACAAGCATCATCATGGCAAAGTCTACAGGTGAACCATCGACCACAACAATTCGCTTGCAATTTTGCTCCTCGACGATAATGCTTACAACCCAATGTTTGAAACTTTTCATTCTAAAATTTTCAAGATTGTTAATAATATCCATAAATTAAAGACATATGCTTGTAACTTTTTTGTTAAAAGAGAGTCTCACATAAGTTGGTTTGAGATCTTCCTCAGTTGATTCCTTATTAATGGACAATGAATTTGAGGCTGGTTTCTTTTCAAACTGTCTCCATTTGGAAGTCATCAAATTCTTTTTGATTGAAACAAATTATTAAGTAACTGTTTAAATAATTCTACAGTAAATTAAAACGAATTTCATATAATATACCTGAATCTTATGAGCTTTCTCTTCTGGTTTGATGGAAAAGTCATTTTGGATTCCAAGGATCATTTTCCTCAGATCATCTTGAAATTGCAAATCAACATGAGGTGGTTGACTTGATTGTTGCCCATTTCTCGCCATTAACTCGTCATCTTGTTCGTTTTCATTTTCTTCTTCAGCGTCGATATCAATCCAATCTTCATTATCGAACATTGTAAAAACTGTGAAATAATAAATATAACTATTAAAAATCAATAAATCCTGTTTTAAATTTAAAGTATTAGTCACGTATTAGTTCAATCGTAGACCGGTTACACGAAATTTTATATCCATAAGGCATTGTTTTGCCATAAGGAGAAACAATAAAATAGAAATTTAATAATATAAAGCAAATAAATATGAAAAAATAACTTATCAAATATCAAATCCAACTTTTCCAAAGAATTAAATATTTATTAAATTGTAGATTTGTATCCAAAAAAAAAAGATTTTTTTTTTATCAAAAATTGTTTTTATAGATAATATTTTATATAAAATATATTATAATAAAATCAGACAAAGTAAATATTGGTATTATCAAGGATTTAGAAATCAAAATTAAATGTAAATATGATTCAATTTGTTACCTTTTCTTTTTCTTATATAATGTATAAAACTACCTTTATATAAAAATAAAAATTTTAAATTTATTTATGTTAGATCTATTAATTAAGAACTATCTTTTTAAACTGTAAGTATAAAATTATTTCTAAAACATTTTAGAAAGCTTAAAATATTTTGATATCTAATAATTATAAAAATATGAAATAAAAATTTTAAATTTATTATATTATAATATATCTAATAGTAATATTTTTAAACTTTTAAAATTAATAATTATCAATATATATTAATTTTTCAATTTTTTAATTTTTAAAAATAATTAATTATCTAATAATTTCAAAAATATAAAAAAAATAAAAATAATAAACTCTTTCTAATGATCACTTGACAAGAAATTTTACGTAAAAAATATATACATTTAAAGACGATTACAGCTTAGCCTACGAATAAAAAATAAAAACTTTCTTTATAAATTTCTTCCTCTTTTTATTTTCTCCAAATCCTCTTATTCTAAAAATAGTTTTGGTTAGTCCAAATGGTGGTATTTTTTGTTAAAATATTTTTTTTGCCACTTCTCATAGCTGTATATTTATTTTTTCTCCTTTTTCTTTTTGCCCACAAAAGTGAGCATCAGGAGTATCTTAAATAATGATCAAGATCAATAATAACTTTGAATCAACCAATCATATATAATGATTTTTCCATTACCTTTTTAAACGAACACACTCTTTTTAGATCTCTGACATTATAAAGTCTGCTGATCTTAATAGGATTTTTCAGTTCTCGCAACTGTATAATTTGAGCTTTATGCAATGCTTGCCAGTGGCTATAATCTGAATTAACAGATATATTAACATAAAGTTTGAGAGTACCAAAGAGCTTCTGATAGAACTTAGTGATATAGACGCTCTTATGATAGAAGGTCGCTGTAACTAAGAATTAACTAGGCAATTTAACTAAAAACTTGTTAAGTCAAATTATTTTATTAGCTTCTTTTTAGTTTAACAATAATTCAAGTACTTATTTTTGTATTGAATTTAAATTTAGAATAGGAATTATTATTAAGGAAGAGAAAGGGCGTAGTAATAATCTAGTTATTATATATTAATGGAGACTCTATTAATAATTGTCTCCAGAATATAGCAAGATGACCGGTTAGTCTAAGACTAGTAAGTTTTTAACTTGCAAGGATATTTTAGTTAGTTTAATTTATTTTTTTTTACTTTTGTATCTGGTTTTCAGAATTTCTATGTATTAAACTACTGGATTTAAATTTTCATAATAAATATAAGCATTACTGTATCTTTAAAAAAGATAATAATTTTAAAAATATAAAATTTGATTTAATAGATTCATCACATTAAGACCTATTAAATAGTAGTATTTTTATATTTCTAGAATTGATAATTAGTAAGATATATGAGTTTAAAATTTTAATTTTTTTATAATAATTTGTTATTTATTCATCTTTAAAAAATCATTAGATAATTACATTTTTTTTTAAATTTTTACTTAAAAAATATCATAAAATTTATTATAAAAGTATTAATTTATTTAATTATATATTTTAAAATATTTAAAAATAATCAAAAATGATTGTAATTAATATATAAAATTATTTATAAATTTGTAGATAAAACAGTTGAAGGAATAGTACCATTAAAAGTATTTTAAAGAAAAAATAAGATGAAAAAATTGCTTCTTATATTTTAAAATAAATGAGATCCAGGTATTAGAAACTTAGCTAAATAAGAAAAAATTATCTATAAAATTTATTAAGAAGAAAAATAAATATTTTTTTTAATAAGATGTTTAAAATTAATACAATCATCTTCTTCTAATTATCTTTCTGTATAATTACATTATATAAATTTTTCATTATAAGCATATATTTTATAAAAATTAATGTTATATAAAAAAAACCCTTTTATAATCACAATATTTTTTGTAATCATATTCTTTCAAAACTAATACTTAGTAAAAATATTTAAAAATCCTTCTATATAGTTATTTTTTATTATAATTACACTTTTTATTTTTGGTCTTAAGGAGTGTGACTATAAAGGATAATAACTGTACTTAAAGATAGTCATCGCAATTAAAAAAATAGCGCAATTGAGTTGCAACTTGTGGTGTAATTAAATTTCCTTATAGCACAATTAAGTTGCAACTCAATTGAAATTTAAAAATAATTATGAAGACTATCTTTAACTATATTAATATTTCAATTCAATTATAATTCAAAAGTCTATTTTGTAATTGAATACTAATACCTTTTTTTACTAAAACTTACTATATTAATAAGTAATCATGATTTAAAAAAATGTCTTAATTATTATAATATAAAAAAGGTTTATAATTAATTGATAAGATAAAAAAATAAAAAAATCATTAAATTTTGTTATTAAAAATTTTTTAAAATCTAATTAAATAAAAAATCAAACAATAAGATTATTAATTAAGAAAGAAATAAATAGAAGATTTTTAAGAAACTTTAATAAAAATTAAAAATAAAGAAAATTTTAATTGGCTATAGAAAAAAAGAAAAATAACTAATTATGATTAAAGTAAATATAATAAAGTAACTATTTAGTGTCTACAATATAAAATAATTTATATTAAAATATTATAGTTTTACATTTAATTTTGATTTCTAAAATCTTTGGTAATATTAATATTCACTTTGTTTAATTATATTCTGTATATAAAACATATTTAATATAAAATATAATAATTATTAATATTGCAAAATCATTTAATATAAATTTATTATAAGCAAAATATAAGTTATTTATATTATTTTTATTAGTTTTTTTATTTTTAACTTCTTTATATTTATTTTATTTAATATATAAAATATAATTAATCCTATAATTTAAAAACAAGAAATAATAATATTTATAGTATAAAACTTTAACATTACTAAATATTTTTATAATGAAATATACTTTCTAAAAGTATTATAAAAAAATATATATAATTTATAATAATTAACTTTTAATATAATAAATTCATAATATAATGAATGTTTATTTATTACATCAATAACATATATTAAATCCCTTATTATACTAAAGTTACTAATCAAATTCTTCAAATTTTTTATTGAAGATTATAAAAAATCTGATGTCTAAAATAATAATTTGCTATATTAAGAGTTAACTGTAAATCATTTTATTAAATAGTAATAGTCACTTCTCAAATTAAAAATATAGTAATAAGTTTTAACAAATTATGAAATTATATTATATTATCTATAAATTTCAGATTTATAAAAAATAAACTTTTTTATAGTATAATCATTATATATATATATATACTAAAATTTGTATTATCTTTTGTAATTTTTTTTTTGTTTTTTTAATAATTATTTTATAATAAAATTTTAAATTATTAATATAATGATTATTTTTAAATTAATATTTTATATAAATAATCAATTAATTTAGAAGATTATTTATTTTAAATATAAAAAGATTATTTTTAAACTAAATTTATTAATATCTCTATAATGATTATTTTATTTTAAAATTATAATATCTAAATTTAAAAATAAATATATATTTAATAAAAAATTATATTAAATATATTATTAAAAAAATATTTATAAATTAATTCTTATTCTTAATTTTCTATTATTATTATTAAATTTATTTTTAAAATCTAAGTTTATTATAATAATATTTTAACAAATTACTTTAAATATTACTAATCTAATTTAATAAATTTTTAAAATTAATATTTATAGTATAATCTACCAATAAATAATTTAAGTTTCAGCATAATAAGCATAATAAAATAAAATAAAATTCTGTTGTATTTAATTTCTAATATTTTTTTTTAAAAAATTTAAATATTTATTTAAATATTAATATTATAAAATTAAAATAGATTATTATTATTATCTAAAATTAAAATTTTTTTTAAAAATAATATTACATAAAAGAAAACATAGATGATAATAATCAAAAGGATAACATTAATCTCTAAGAAGTTATATATATCTTATATATCTTCTATGTCATCTATAATATATATTTCTTTTATATAATATATATATATATTTATTTATTTATTTATTTATTTTATTTTTTTGATAACTTTATGTATTTTATTTTATATAAATAGATGACATTTTTTTTAGTTTAGCAATATGTGTTTGAGTCATATTTCTTTAGATAGTTTTACTTTAATCTCTCTAATATACTTATACAGTATAAAACGCTGAATGAGATAGTATTCATTTGTTATTATTATTAAATAAATTGTTAACTAATTAACACTTTTCTAAAACTAATTATAAAACATACCTTCTGCTTACCATTTAAAAATATTACTTCATTTATTACTTATAAGCAATCTAAAGAACTGACTATCACAATAATTAATAAAATTATATATATTTTTTTCTTATTAATTATTTTATATTTATTATTTTTATTATAGATAATTTTAAAATTATTAATATATTAGATTTTTGTAAATTTATTTTATTATTAATATAAATTATTATATAAATATTAAATTAAAAATAATTAAATTTATTATTAAATAATTTAATGTAAATTTATTTTATAAATAATCTTATCTAATCAAATTCATCAAAATAT